TGTGTTCCCACTTCCCCTAATCACCTCCTGTGTATTTAAGTCCTCTGTTTTCAGTGTGTGATTGTCAGGTCGTCTGTTGTCTACGCCATGCTTCTAAGTTGCTTGTCTAGGTTTGTCTTATTGTTTGTTTAGATTTCCCAGTTTATGTTTGTGTTAATTTTGCTTCAGTTTGCCTTGCCCTTTGTTTGTACCGTTTCTACCAGCCATATTAAACGGCTCGCCTTTTGTTAACATTTCAAGTTTTGTTCCCTGTTCCTTGGAGTCTGCGTTTTGGGTCCTTTTTTCAATTCATACAGTCTGCCCTCGCCAGACTGTGACACTTCTCCCCTGGTTAGGGTGTTTTTCCTTTTCACCAAACTGTAAATTTTTATATTGTATCATTTTTATTAATGCTTGTTTTATATGAATTCTTTTGATATTTTAGAATTAAAGAGGATTTGAAGTTATGATTCGCATGGAGATTTAACATTAATTACATTTTATTATCCTGTTTGTACGGTTTTCACCTGCTCTGTTGAATGATCCAGGAAAATGTAGTTTTGGCTTTTTTCTGCATTGATAAATACTGACTGAATACTGTCTTTCATTTGTGTTTACACAATAAAAACAAAGAAAATGCAAACTGAGGATATGTTTTTCAGAATGAAAGTAATGAAATGAAAATAAAGGACAGAAAATATTCAAAAACTATTTAGCAGAGAAAATAGTTTGTGGATGATCGTGATCAGCTGAAGAAACACTTTGGGAAGCGTCGTGGGCAGATGTTGTTGCTTTCAGGATTTTACTGCTAGCACACACTAATACCATATAGTAAACAACACAGCTACACCCAAACAGGTCTAAATAAAACAGCTAACTGAGGCTTAACAGTGTTGGAATATAACTGGAATAAACCCCAAATAACAATGTTCATTATTAGAGTCAGGTCTATGAAACAGAAACAAATGGAGTATAGTTTACACTAGGATGTGCCAGAGGGTCAGAGAATATCCATCAGTGTGCAACCATCAAAGGCCCTTATTACAGAAACCGTAGACTAATGAGTCAGTTATGTTACAGTGTGACCAGCTGATGCTGTTAAAATGATCACGATATGTAGGAATGTGACTCAGACATGAAGCTCACATACTGTATGCTCTCTGACTCTCCCACCATCAGAGCCATAAATCCTTTTTAGACGTACTTGTTGGGATCTACTTGCAAAGTTACGCTGTGTGTGATCATGAGCTCAGCTCCAACACAGGCAGTGGAAAAGATTAAAACAGCTGCATTTAGTACTCATATTGTTGACATATTAATCTCAATATTACCGATTGTAGGATTACTACTGATATATCACACCTACAGAAACAGCCAGATTAAAAATAGTGTGTCAGTCTTTTGGCTCGCAGGCTGCAGAAACTTGTTTCTACTGGAAACTTGGTGGTTTTTGTCTGTTTTTCAGACGTGTATGATTTGACTCACTGTAAGAAAACCTTTGCTAAATGTTTCTGTTTACATGAAGATGCCATTCCAGACCTCAGAAGACGAGGCACATAATAATTCATTTATAAGTGTAATACAGGTAAATAAACTGGTATTTGTGTGTTTGTACGAACTAAGCACTAAGAAGACTTTTACACTGCAAATCTGTTGGTTTCTCTGTGAGTGACATTTAAACTTGGAGCCTTGTGGGCACTGTTCATAGACTGTATATAAAGGATGGACACAGCCACCGTGAACAATGGGTTTCTGAACTCAGAGGCGTTTCAGAACGCATGGCTGCTGCCATGTTGGATTTTTGGATGAGTCAGTGAAGTGCCAAGCTATCAGCAACAGCTGGCAAGCTTAGAGCTCATTAGAGCAAAAGATAAAAACAAAATCACAAAATTTCACTCGCCAAAATTAAAGCGCAGACTTTTTAATGACATTTTAATGTTGTAATGAATGAAATCCTGAAACCAAACTAAAGAGAATAAAACTTGAAAGGTGACAAGTTATCAACATTTTATTGTTCATATAATTCTGAATATATAATATCTGACTGTTTCACTGACAGAAAGCTTCAGTATATACCTCGGTACATTCCTGTGTAGAGTCCCATAAAGAACAAGAAGAAGAAGGGAGATGAGAGCAGCTGTGAGGAGAAGAAGCTCGAGCTGAATGATATTCATGATGAATGAACTGTAAACTGGTTTACCCGATGGACTCAACACCCTCACTTCCTGTTTTCTCTTCTTTCACTTTTATCAGACATGTTGTGTTTTGTCTTTAATAAGATGACCTTTGAACACAGAATACTGACAGCAGGAAGAATTATCAACATGATGATATTTAGTCATTTTTCAGCAACTCTGGATTACTGGGTTTGTTGTATAAAAGACCAGAAACACGTCGTAACTTTAGACATCCAGTGCACACATAATTACAAACTATTTCAACACACGTTAAACTATTTTACAAATGCATAACCCGACACTAATCCAATTCAGGGTTGCTGGAGGCTATCCCATGTGTTACAGAGTGAGAGGAGGGTACACCTGGACAGGTCGCTTCCTGTCACAGGGCCAACACAGACATCTACTCACACCTATGGTCACTTTAGTAAAACACATGAAGAAAGAAGCAGTGATGAATCTTCATGCACAATAAAGTCCAACACACACGGTTAGTGCAACAATTTACATGCAAGGATGTAAATTGTTTGTAGGGTGGATGCTTGTCTGTTTTGAAGAGACTGATCAGTGTCCATTAGTCGGGTTTCATGCTTATTGTGTATTTCTTTCATGGACAGCCAGGCCGACCACATAAAGGGAAAAGACCACCTGCAGTCTCTGGGCAGGTATGAAGCAGTGACATGTGTGGGTCACACTGTGAAAAGTGGAGAACAAGGCAAAATGTAGGACTTTGAAATTGATGCGACTCGTGTATCTACCAGGAGGCTGAGGGGTACCGAGGCTGCTGCCAGTATTTTTATATTTACACTTTTCAGCCAAGTAAACAGCTGTTGATATGCTGTATCTACGACCTTCTTCTTCTTCTTTCCCTTTAAAGCTCGCCACAGCAGGTCATCTTCCTCTCTCTCCTCCTCTGTCACACCAACACTCTGTTCTTCTTCACTACATCCATGAATCTTCTCTGAGGTCTTCCTCTTTTCCTCCTGGCAGCTCTGCCTTCACATCCTTTCCCAGTATATCCTCTATCCCTCCTCTGCACACGTGCAGCTTTGTCTCCAAACTGCTGAACCTGAGCTGTCCCTGTGATGCAGTCCTCTCTAATCCTGTCCATCTGATGATTCCCAGTGAAAATCTTCCCGTCCTCTGCCACCTCCAGCTCAGCCTCCTGTCTTTTTGCATCACAGCAGCTCTCACAGGAGACCATTCTCAAAATCATCTTGTAAATTTTTCCAATTAAATTTATCAAGAGGTGTAAGACCTTTAGGGTGCTCTGCTTCACACATCTTCACTTGTATATTCATTCCTTTCTTCTCCAGTAGCTCCCAACATGTACTCTGAGTGATACAGGTCCTTTTGTGGGCCTCAGCTCCACAGTTATGTCTTCTCTTTGGAGGAAGCTGGGATCCTCAGTTCAGGATTATTCAACCTAAATGATTCTGTTAATGTTACACCTCCTGTGCTGAGAGAGTCCAAAAATCCACTTTGTTCAGTCACGTGTTTGTCGGATCTTCCTGCCAGTTTCGTGTTTCATTGTATAGCGATGTTTGTGTTTCAAGTATGTTTGTGTTCTTGCTTTCCTTTCACATCTACACAGCAAAATCTCCAGTGTTAAATTAACACTAGAGAGTGTCTATATGGGTCCACACCTCTGAGTGTTAAATACAACACTGTTGAGTGTTAAATTAACACTTTTGACAGTGTTATATGTTTAAAAGTAACCTAGTCAGTTTTGAAGATTAACAAAGACTAACACTGAGCAGTGCTGATTTTCTAACACTGGAAAATAACTCAAAATGTTAGAAATATTCCAGTGTTAGTTTAACACTGGAGATTTTGCTGTGTATGATGGGCACTGACACAAGTCTTCAGTGGTGCTCCTGGAACTGAGATCTTAAACAAAAAACAATCAGGGATGAAGAAGATTCATTTCAGTCTCACAAGCAGTTTTTTTTTAAAGGAATCAGGTTTGTTCCAGTTTGCAGAAAAGACACCAAACATGTTAAAACTACTTGTAATGATGTGGGCACTCCTATCACTGCCTCGACTTCATCTTCATCCTTTTCAAATGCAGATTCATCAAATGTTCCTGATCTAACGGTTTCTTTAAGCTCACGGTTCTCCTCACTTCACTGCATTTCTTTTGTAAACTTTCACTCATGTCTTTTTTGTTTTGCTCATCATCAACACCTGGAAGTGTCACAGATGATTTAAATCTGAGAGCCGCTGCATCCTGCTACATCTTTTCCTCCATCCTCTTTTCCTGCAGCGTGCTGTGCTGCTCACACCTCCGCACGTCTTCCTCCCTCTTCCTCTTGTTGGTGGCTGTTGTGCTTGAGGAGATGGGAGGAGCTCAGACAGAGGACACATCAGGTGTGTCACCTAAAAAAAAAACCGCTTTCTATTCAGTAAATGCTAAAGTATGAACACGTGTGACAGTTTTCCTGAACATCTGTTCTCCATCAGAGAGAAATCATCTGATGGAGAGTTTTTACACGGACAGAGTAAGCACACATCTGATCGCGCAGTGACGCACTTCTCTTTTTTCTCCTGCGGGTGAGCGTGTCCTCTGACGTCACATGAACCCGAACCGTAGAAACTTCAATCCTGCAGCTCTGAACCTGCGTGACAGCGGCTTCATCCAGGTAACATTTATCACAGACAGCACAGAGAAGCAGGCTCAGACCCGCCGTCAGACTTTAACTGTGAGAAACTTTCTGTGACCTCGAGGTGAATTTTCGGTTGAGGTAATAAACGCGGAACATTTGGACCGGAAGTAAACGATATAGTTCATGTCGTATTTTGTATTTTTGTCTGTAAATCTGTGTGAAAGTAAGTTTGAACCGGGGACTTAATTAAAAAACGGGATAAAATACTGAAGAACCTCTCACCTCATGATTACATCATATCTCTGTGACAGTAACGCAGCCGAGGTGCGATGGAAGACGCGGAAATGGAGCGCCATAACACAAGAACACTTGCTTTCACTTCTCTGCTCGCTCTTTGTCGTTTAAACCTGGTTAAAGTTAAAGCTGAGGAGTGCAGTGCTGTTGTGAAAGGTTTGATCAGGAATCAGGAAAAGTAAAGTCTGTCACTGTGTCCTGATACAGGCCTGTTCTGTGGGCTGTGGTCTTTGGATCAGAGGCTGTAGAACCAGCTTGGACCGTGTTTGGTGGTCCTGATGTGATTCATGGACCTTAATCTGCTCTCTCTGTATAATCTGCTGTATAATCTCTCTGAAATGATGCGAATCAAGGATTAAACTGAGATAAATATCTCTGTTAACTAGGCCTCCGACACCATTTTAGGTATTAGCGTAGGAGGAGCCAAGGCTTTATTTTCTTGAACTTTATTAACATGTATACTTAAACATTATTGTCCATTTTTACCTGCGATAATCAATTTATTATTTATTTTTTCTATATAACTAAGTTCTGTTTTACTTTTTTCTGTTAATATATTTTTCAAATGTGACTATCAAATCAAATCAAATCACTTTTATTGTCACATCGCATGTGCAGGCACACTGGCACAGCACATGCGAGTGAAATTCTTGTGTGCGAGCCCCACAAGCAACAGAGATGTGCAAACACAA